CCAAAGATGACGTACTCATCTTTAAAATAGTTGTATAGGTAGAAAAATGCCCAAAAAATGAAAGTTAAAATTTAAAAAACCAAGTATGTTCACAAATGAATAGCGTAAATCATTAAAAACCTCACCAAAAAGCATTCTATCAATAATTCAATTCACAAATTTTGAACGATTTTTCCCCATATATAATACAACAAACCACTCCTATATTTTGCTCACAACACCCACTAATGCCATACCAATCCAAATGATTCATAATCTCACACTAGAGTTCAACCACTTGGTATTAGATGCAAATCAGATTGCATGCAAAAAAAGTTGTTTGATTGGTCATAATAGTACACACACTAGAGTTCAACCACTTGGTATTAGATGCAAATCAGATTGCATGCAAAAAAGTTGCTTGATTGGTCATAAATAATTTTAAATTGTAGTCGTGTAAATATTGGTCCATGTGTATACTATAATGTATTTTTGTGTGTGGAATGCACATATTTTTTTCACAGCGGGACCACTAACAAGCTGACTTTGTGGACCTAATGTTGTGTGGTGGATTTGTATTTATGAGTTTAAAAAATATTTTAAGAAATATTTTTGATTATGTATTTTCTCAAGTTGATGGGTTTAATCATTCTGTATGCAACAAAATATAAATTTCTGGATATCTTGAATTTATCAATATTGTTGTAGTTAAATTATTATTTCTCATCAAAAATTTAAAATATATTTCTAAATATTGATATATGTAAGCAGCTATTGAAGTTCGGTATCTTTATGACATTGAAGTTAAATGTTTCCCCTTTATCATAGATATTGCTGTATAATTTGTCAATAAAAATTTTAAATCTAAATCTAAAAATTCAACTTTGTGGGTTAAAATTTGTCTGTATTAATTTTAGGTTTTCCCGGGATAAAAATTAATGCTAGGTTTAAATTCAATGTCGGACCTATAACAATTAAATCATCCATGTATCTTAATAAGAGGCAAGATGGTTCATTTCTTTCGATTTGATTCATTGTGGTGTAAAATACAGGTTAGGAGACTATTACTGGCCAGACCCCCCCTGAGGCAATCCTTTAATTTTTTTTTAGAGTTTGTTATCAAAAATAATAAAATTCTTGTATTAAAAAAACAAATTTAGTGTATTGAACTTTTAAAAACTAATGTAATCATTAAAACCATATTTCATATGCATCTGAAAGTACCGAATTATATCTTCTATTTTGAGGGTTAAAAAATTTTCGAAATCAAATCCATGCACGAAAAATACCTCTTTGTTGCTCAACCTTCTTTATTACATCATGGCTGTTTTTATAATACAAGTATCTTTAAATTTGTCTATTGCATCTTGTAATATGGTCTGTAAAATTCTTCCCAATTTGGATATATAAGTATTGAACCCATTTGTTACACTGCGAAATTTGACTGGATTTTTATGAAATTTAGGAGTCAAAAATATATGGGGATATTTAATTTTATTGCTAGAAATATTTAATTGTTTACAAAATGCCAATAATCTATTGTTAATTTCTTTCATACTAAATTTACTTACTTCATATGCATTGTTATTTTTTATATGATCATTTATTAATTTACTATAGTAATATTTACACATTATTGCATAATTTCCTGGGACTTTATGTTGATAAACTATCACAAAGTGTTTTTGTAAATTTTCTATTGGTATTTTAATTTCTCTATAAGAAACATCATTTTTTGTTCTAAAATTAAAATTCTAATTCATTAAGTCCCTGAGAACATGAAACCCATATTCCTTAAAGGCCTAAGTAGGTAAATTATATTTAATTGCAACATTTAGAATAAATTTTTAATATCTTCTGATAGTTTTTTTCCCACATTTAAATTGCTTTGAAATGTTAGTCGATAACCAGTGCCTTTGCACATAATTTCTCTTAATTTCTGATCTTGAACTATTTCTAAGTTGCCTGTTACTACGTGTCCATGATATTCGTCCACGTATTTCCTGTAATCATTGCATCTACATTCTTTTAGATCTACCAATTCCTGAATACTGTTATAGTTAAAAACTGATCTACTAATTTTTTTTATACCTGAACGCTCGCTTTATTAATACATTTCTCACCGGGAATAAATCCCTGTGTTTCTTAAGTATTTCAGAAAATCTTATCCCATTATATGATTTGTTCATGTATAACTAAGTGCAATATTCTATATTATAAGTATCCTTAGAGTCTACCTTTATATTTAATCTATTAGCAATATATTTGTATAGATCCATGACTAAGTGTGATCCGTGACTATCCACCAATCCATTACTTTTTATTAAATTTAAAATTATTATTATTTCCTTTTTATTAAATCCAAACAAAAAATACTTTATTTGTCCAACGCTAAAATTATTCTCAAAGTCTTGTAGTAATTTATATAATTCTTTTTTAATTGTATCTTTCTACCTCTATTTTCTCGCTTTTTTCGTCCACCCTTTCTAACCCTTTTAGTCTTATTATTATTTCTACACTATATATAGAGTCCTTATCATTTTGTTTCAAAACCTGGATTAAATTTCTGTTATTCCACACCACATTTAATCCGTAAGGATACATACTGTTATAAACACCGATGTAAGCGTTTTCATACCATAGTCTCTTATCTTATTTGAAACAATCTTAACAATATTCAACACAGCACCTTCAAAACCGTGTTTATTAAAGTGCTGTATCTCTATCCTACCTATATTTTTTGTTGATGTATTTTTTCCAATGTCTGATCTATGTTGGTTAATTCTTATGTTCACAGGTCCTGATGTTTGACCTACATACTTAAAGCCGCAGATACCGCAAGTCAACATATAAATGCAGTTGAATGTTTTACAGAACTTAAATTCTGATTCCTCATTGTTCTGTTCATGTTGCATCATGGGGCAGGTTTTGCATCTTTTATCCCCACATTTTCTAAATCAGTTTTAAATGATCCGAATCATTATGAAACCTGTTATCAATTTTTTCGTCATATTTAAAATAAATAGATTTCGATTCATAATTCCCCTCCACTTCGATACATCATAATAATTCCCTACAAATCCAGTATTCCAAATAATACGCGTTTTATATTTCTTAATGTTTTGATTATCCTGTATTCCTAACCTTGAAAATTTCTTATTAAACAACAAACAAGAAGCTAACGTTTTTTTATTTTTTACTTTATTTATAATTTTTTTGCATGCTGTCTCATGTTGTCTGCGCCCCCTATCTGCCTCCAAATCATACTTATGCAACTGTCTCATTTTATCATATTCCATCTGAACAGAAAATATCAGTATCAATTTAATGGTAATTGATTGACGATAGCACAAACACCATCATATTGTACCACCGAGCAATGACAATCAATATTGAAAGCCAAGTTGCCAGTCTTTAAAAATATACAAAACTTTAATATCATTATGTTTGAGTTAATATATATAAAAATTCCATTAAAATTACTTTACATGCTCCTCTTCCATATACGCAGAAATAAACTCTCACAAATCTCAATCAAAAATTAAACTCTCACAAATCTCATTCAAAAATCACACTCCTTGAGATTATCATATTAATTTTCATGTCAAACACATGAATCAAAACTAAATGCTAAATCAACCCTTGTGAAACCTTAAACTGCACATGACTCAGAGACAGCATATATTTTTATAAATATATATAAGAAATTAAGCATTGAAAAACCAATAAATTGTACATGAAAAGTGAACATTGAAAAACCAAACAACACAATAAGAAAATTCAAAAAACATAATAGTTAAAAAGTAAACAAACATAAACAAAATATATTATTAATAGCCAAATTCTGATTCTATTAAGAATTTAAAATTAACTATACATTTTTTGTTCTTAAAATTTATATTCGAATCATTAAGATATTATATACCGGTGAATTCATACATTTGTAGGCGCAAAGCAGCCCAACACATGAATGAAAAATATTTAAATATATATAGAATTCAATCACAATACAAAAATCAATCAAAAAATTGAAACCTATAACATAAAATCCCATTTCAAAATATCAATAGCGAATATAGAAGAAAAAAAATTCCAATGTTTTTCAAACAAAATTAAAAATTATAAAAATAAAAATTTATAAAAAATCCCAGTAACCTCCGGGCTTAGGACCGATAAGTGGGGTTAAACTAGTTTGATGGCGCAACCTCCCCCTATTGCAACTTGGTAATTCAATCGAAAATATCCAATTCTCAAAAATTAAAAAATTAAAAAGTCAAAATTTAAAAATTAAAGAGTTAAAATTTAAAAATTAAAGAGTTAAAATTTAAAATTAAAGAGTTAAAATTAAACCATTAAACTTGAAAAATTTAACTATTCGCCATCGCATTCTGAAAGATATTATATTAAAATATTAAAATTCTAAAACAACTAATTGCATAATATAAGTGAACCCTCGAACACCAAAGATGACGTACTCATCTTTAAAATAGTTGTATAGGTAGAAAAAATGTCCAAAATCCAAAAAGTTCAAGTTAAAAACCAAGTATGTTCACAAATGAATAGCGTAAATCATTAAAAACTCACCAAAAAGCATTCTATCAATAATTCAATTCACAAATTTTGAACGATTTTTCTCTCATATATAATACAACAATTACCACTCTTATATTTTGCTCACAACACCCCACTAATGCCATACCAATCCAAATGATTCATAATCTCACACATCCAGAGTTCAACCATTGGTATTAGATGCAAACAGTATTGTCATAAGTAGACAAAAAGTTTATTTGATTAGTCAATAGTAGTACAATTCACATAAGAGTTTAACTGTTATGGTATTAATGAAAATTTTCAGATTGCGTGCAAAAAAGCTTTTTATTGGTCATAAATAATTTTAAAACTTGTGTGTGAATTAATATAATTACATTAATATATATATATATAATTATTAATTAATATAAAATAATATTATAAATAATAGTCCAACACAGTATATTAAAAGGAAAGTCGCTCATCGTGTACCTGTAGTGCAATGGATAGTACGTTGGACCTCTAATCCAAATGTCGCGGGTTCGAAATCCACCAGGGATAGCTTAATTTCTGAAAATGTGATTTCTTTTTTATTAGAATAATTAAATCTAATGAATGAATAAATAGTAACAAACAAAAATAATAGTCCAACACCCTATATAGACAGGAAAATGGAAAATTGCAATGAAAATCGCTTTCTATTTTGCCACTTAATAGTGTGATTCTGTCATATGTATGTATACATATTTATACGAACTGTAATTATTTAATAAAAGTAACTAAAATAAAAATTTTCTTTATTGACCTAAGTAGGAATATTTTTTTATATATTACTTGTTAAACATAATAATAATGAAACAGTATACTGCACATTTAAATAGAATTGTGCGATCTTCTCACTAATCCTTTGGGGAATCTTTGGGCGAGCATTCGCGTTTAATTCACAGCCATCCCTTGCAAGAAGAAACCCTGGTATGTAGATTAATTCGACTATATAAAGTCAGAGTTTTATAATTGTAGGAAGAAGGAGCTGTGAGAAGCTGTTACTATCGTCACGAAGGTGAGATAGAATAAAGTTGATTTTCGCAGCTTAAGTTTAAGAGCGGTGTTTGCCACCTGTATTAAATTAGTGGATTGGGGATTTGTAGTCAACGATAGATTAGGATAAGTTAAATTGGTTACTTGCGCTTGTTCGCTTAATCTTTATTGCTTTCTCCCTATCACTCCTAGGACATTCACTTAAAGGTTAAACTGCTATTGATTAGTGTGCTTGAGTAAAATAAATATTTGTTATTATGGAAGTTTCTGGTTCTGCTTTTAATTCTCCCACACTTTTAGGTAGGCATGACGGTGAAGGAGTGACTTCAGGGGTAAGTCGCTCACAGAATATTTTATATTTCGGTTTCGAGAAAGCTACTCCCCCTCCCTTAAATTTAATAAGTGAAATATGTTATTTTATCATACATCTTTCACAGTTAGCTAGAAATTCGATTCTCTCAAACAACAGAGAGTATCTAAGTTGCAGTTCGTCATTTCTTATACTGTACCTGCCAGTATCAAATCTAAATAAATAAATTAAATACTAGTAAAATACCACAAACTTTTAACCTGCCTTAATTAGTAAGAAGCATCAAGCACAATGTGAATGACTCATTATAGAATATTCTACCAAAACATTTCAGAAGGGTTATTTGTGGAGATGGATGAATCCAAAAATTTCGAATTTAGAAATATTTTCGAATAGCATCCAATAAACATAACACGTCCCCATCCTTAAAATTTGGACTAATACTTCGATGAAGCATCGCAGGTTACTTTTTAACATCGTGTAACATAATGTTTCATAAATTAAAAATAAGAAACCAAGATTAGATGATGATCTTTGCGATTTTGAACAACAACACATGTCATTATTTTATGTAAAAAATAATTTTAGCCACCAAAAAGATATTCTATTTAAAAAAAATATTTCAATCGAATTCGAATTTCAAATAAAAGCATTTATAAAAATATTTCTTAGTATAATTCATTGGTATAATATACTTTAAAAATTATTTTATTTTCCTGCTGAAATTAAACAAAATTCAAAGAGTAACTTTAAAATTTAAAAAAAAAAATAACTGCATGGAAATAATTATCTCACAAAAGAAACCGAGACCTAAGATTGATAATTATCAAGGAAAACATACAATTTTAATTTATTTAAGAAATGAATTGTTATATTTTTATTTGAATGCATTTATTTGTCTTATTGATACACCAAATTTACCAACGCATTGCGATTATTTGCATGGAAGCTAACTTTACTGCTTTTTTTTGAGCAACTGCTCTGCTGTTTTTCTATACTTATTATTAAGTATTTTACATTGATAGCAATTATGACATATATTTAAAAATGCGTTAACTCCATGCTTGTTTCGTAAAATAGAAAAAGATACGCTAGTAATTTGTAATGAATTTTAAAAAGTTTTTATGAAATTGAAATTTTTTAGTATTTAGAAAATTTTATTTCTACGTAATACTTGATTTATAGCAATAAGATTTTCAGTTTCCCCCTCTCAAATTAATATCAATTAAGATAAATTTGATATAGATTAGAGCAAAATTTTCTATTCTATCATATTCAATCCGTGATATTAAAAACGAACGTGGTTAAATGGTCTTTTCCCCTCACAGCTAGCTAATTTTCCCCAGTTTAATTTTCGCACTCAGAATCTTTCGATTTGCACAGATTTTTTTTTTATTCATTCCTGTCTAATTTTCCCTTTGTTTGTTTCTCTTTAGCTCCCGCACGGCGACCTTGCTCTGCGCTGGCTTGGGTTGAAATGACGCTTTCTACCACAATCGGTCTCAGGCCACGCCTCCGGCTTTCCTGATTGGCTCACTCACTTTGCCACCCGACCTACCCCGTTCACGGGTCTGTTTCTCAATGTTTTCCGTCAGCCTTTTTCATTCACAGAGTAGAGCATTTGCTTACAAAAGACAACAAGTATGCTAACTATTGGGTGATGAACACAATTAAAAACAAATATTTCTCATTTCGAATTAATTTTTAGCGGATAAAGAAAGAAGGGAAAAAAACCGTAGGAAATTTTATTTAATATAAAATGTTTTTTTAAATAACGATTTCTGTCCAGGCAATCGTCGCGATACTTTTCTGTGAGAGCTTGCAACAATGTACTATCGCAATCGTATTGGCGACATTATATGAAAGGAAGCAAGTGGTTGCATTCAGAGAATACCACAAATGCGAAACCGAGGCTGCCAACTGGGCGTTAGCATAGCATCTTAAACGTTAGCATAGTAGCGATAATACGTAATAAATTTATTACAGCATCACCAAGAACTTTTTTGTGTGTGTAGAGATATATCTATATTTTTATCGCATTATATTTATTTTGATTAATGGAACAAATTTGTATTTATGATTGTAAAATTGATAAATGACAAGAATATTTAAAAAATAAATTCATTTTTTCCTTTTATTATAGTCTGCAAAATTGAAAAAAAAAAAAAAAAACCTTCGTTCAATTAATTAATTCGTTTAACATGTTTCAGAATTCGTTGCGCCAAGAACAAGTTATAGGGTTGCAATGAAACTTTATATGTAAATATTTTTCTACCATATGTGTAATTAGGATTAAATTTTGATGATTAATTAAAATGTGAAATACGACGAATTTTTCAATGATGCTTTTAATACCTATATTCTGTGTTATTCCAAAACTGAAATAGATTTATTTCATAGTAAATTCCTAAATTTTAAATGAACTTTTACAGAAAAGGATTAGATATATTTAGGAAGATAAAAAAAAGAATAAAAATGTTTATTAGAACCGGTGGTGCACACACAAAGGAGGGGTCCCGGGTCCGCACCCCCTAAAAGACCTTGATTTCTTTTCGACTGATTATAATCCTATTATATAGTAGTAAAATTTAATTAAGTGTTTGTTATTAATACTTCATTTTATTAATTAATGCTAATTATTTATTCAATAATAAATTTTTACGGTCCCCCTTCCATCTCGAAAATCAATAAAATCAAAAGAATATGTTGAGCGACGTATTGGAACATGATACGAGAATGGTGTACTTCCGTTTTTAACCTCCTCAGCGCCCTAGGCACTTCAAATTGTTATATCCCCTATTTCCAGAACATCACCCTCCTTTAGCAGTTCTTCTTACCTTGCCAATTTTGGTTCGAGAAGGGATTTTCTCTAAACTCTTTTACTTTTCTCCCTTTTTTGCTTTTGCTCGTGGGGGAGTTTTTCCATTATCCACCACCTACGAGCCTTCCGTGTCCCGGACTTGGAACCGGCAGCTGTACGGAAAGGATAGTGGTATGGTTTGGCCACTCTTGTTTATTTCTTACCTTACGGCTAGGGATTGCAATATCGAACCACAAAAGTTCAATACCGGTATTCGGTATTTTTTAGATCTTAATACCGGTAATAGAAATTTTAGGAAAAGAAAGAAAATACTGATGTTTCTTTGATTTATTTGCCAGTTTTATTAGAGAATGTAAATATCACAAAAAATTAATTTATAATTTTTAAATTATAACAGTATATAAAGAATCACAAAAAAGTAAGGGAACATCCTATTTAGTTAAATCACAAAAATGTAAATATTGTTACGAATTTTGTGTAAATAGTGTAAATAATTTGTATTTGAGTGTTTAATGCATTTATATTACTCTATGTTATGTTTATTTCATGTTAAAATTGTACCATTCACAAGCAATGCCGCCCCTTACGTTATAATGGCGATCCAATGAGAGCTTGGCGAAATCTTGGCGGTAGAGCCAAGTTGGCCTCATTTTTGGTGACCAAGTTGGCGGCCAATTTGGCGACTTTGGAGACCATTTTGGCGTCATTGGCGACCATGTTGGCGAGTTCGGAACCCTCGGGAATTTTCTAGAAAGTAGTAGATTTCTCCACTAGTGTCACGTTCAATGACACGAGCTGTTATATTTCTGAAAGTTTCTGCCCCCTATAAAGGATGCTCCCCGGTAGGCGAGGACAGCCTCTTGCGGCCCTATTAACTTACGGATGTCCTGTGGGGGATAGGGTAATTTTTCTATTAAAATTTAGATTGTGCTCAAAATTCATTAATTAGATCAATCAGCCATATTTTATTTATACTGCAAAAAAAAATATTTATAATTCACAAATTTTTTAATTTTTTAAATCTTATATTCAAAACTTGAAAAAAAATTTCTTCAATAACCTACCTAATATTAAAAATTAAATATAATAAATCTAGAAACTACGCCCAAATCACAATAAAAAAGGCCCAGGGTACTGCTGGACTCTTATAATCCCCCCATTAGCTCGGTCACCCGGTGGGAAGCCCCCAATACTAATTGTTTTTATTTTATTTTTAAATTTTTTCCATGCACCCACCGGCTTCCGACTCAATAGTTTAATCTTATCTACCCAGTGCAACGAAAAAAGAGTGTTTGATCACTGCAACCAAATTTCCCATTTCCCATGATTTATTGCTTCTACCACTAACCCCTCAAGTTGACCCGCCTACCTTCCCGTCCGACCCAATGGGCT